CCTTCCCAAACCTTCCCAAACCTTCCCTTCCCAAACCTTCCCAAACCTTCCCAAACCTTCCCAAACCTTCCCTTCCCAAACCTTCCCAAACATTCCCAAACAGTCCCTTTCCAAACATTCCCTTCCCAAACATTCCCCTCCTAAACATTCCCAAACCTTCCCTTCCCAAACCTTCCCTTCCCAAACCTTTCCTTCTATCTTGTGGGTTTTTTTTTGTTTGTGCCTTTATTAATGCTCAGAACACAAAGACACATCATAGCTGGAACCCACATGAAAACCTGTCCTTCAGTATCTGACTCTTTAATGCTATGACATTCAAGTGCAAGTTAAATAAAAGTTGAAATAACTGACTGCAGTAACAGAAAAAGGCAGGAGAGGGAGAGTTAAGATTTAAAATAAAACCAACCAAAATACATAGCAAACCCAGCCATATTTGTTTGAAATAATTACCTAAATAAGCAATAATTGTCAGTGACAAACCCCTGTAAGAATGTCAGTGGGCGATAATATCTATGTGGAATTCTACAGAGAATGATGCATCAAAAGTGAGAGGGCAGACATGGGGATAGGGTTGCAAGCACAGTAAGGACAACAGGCTATTCCTCAAATCACAAAGGACAGCTCCCAATATGACCATTATTACCACTTGCAAAATTGTTGTTGTGCCAACAGAAAATCAGCTGGCAGCAACTGGTAAAATGATCATTCACCGCAGCAACTGACAAATACAAGTGAAGATGGATTCCTAACTCCATCACTTACTTGAAAGTTGCTTTGGGTAAGTCAGAGCTTTGCAGAGACTTGCACTTCCTTGTGCTTGCTCTCCCCCTCTCACCTATCTGTTCTTGGAAAAAAAAATTGTGAGGTGTTTGTGTTAGTTGGCAGGCTGCCTAGCCACCCTTTGTGAAAATGGCTTGGCAAATTTGAGTTGAGCACCAAAATGATTACACAGGGACTGCTTCTACTTAATGAACTGCTTGATACCCATGGCATGCGATTTCTCTGTATTCAGGGCTTAACTGAAGGACCACATTCTGTATTTTGATAACAGTAAATCACCAACATGGAACACTTCAACATTGTAAAAATGTGGAACATTGACCTTCATGATGAATAAAGCGCATGTGGTTTTAACACAGGAATGAGCAAAAGGGAGGTGAACAGCACTGAGGAACATCCTTGTGTTATGGACTGATATACTGCAAGATGTTACTTGCTCTGAAACTACAGTTGTCCCATCATTGATTCCTGGTTTCAGTTAGACTTTTAATGAAATTCAGTAAACCTTGCTTGCTTGCTCCTGCACTGAGGCAGACTGACCTAGCACGTTGCAAGTAATTTCTTTCTCTTTTTTTTTTAATCAAACTTGCACCAAGTCATTGGATTCCCCCCAGCTTTTGCCCACAAGAGCAGTATGTTGTAGCTCATGAAGTAGTCTTTCAGTCCCAAAGTCTTTCATGTCAACCATGACACTGACACATCTCTCAGACTACACGACATTGAGGGTGAAAACAGATGCCCCTGATGTGTCTTCCTTGCTCACCTTTTCTTTCCTCCTCCTTCCTAGTTTCTCACTCTAACCTTATCTGATTTCAAGAGCTGGGATCTGCTGCTGGGAGCTTTGCTCTAGGCACAAACAGCAAACCAGTGTGGTACAGGGAACCCTGGACTGTTATTCCCCTCTTCCCTTTACACATCCCTGAGATTGTGTAAAAAACTCACATGCCATCCTGGCAGCTACCTCTGATACAGAACCCAGCTGCAGAACAGGCTGTCCCTAGCCCTCACCACTGCTGGGCAGTCTCCTAGTGCAAGGAGGAGACCCTACAGCAGGGCTTGCCATCTGCCCTGCTGCCCAGACCCGGACACAAGGAACTATTGGAGCATTAAGCCCCACATCACCATTATCCCTGCATGATTAGGACTCCCACAGATGCAGAACAGCACTGCTGCCAAGAGCCCTGCAGGCCAGACCACGTGCCTGGATAGTGGCTGAGCGTGGGGAATAGCTCCTCACTAAGAAACATGCTTATGATCAACCACTCTCCACACTTTCCCAGCAGGGACTGGCATTCCCAAGCTCTGCAGCAAAGCTGTCCCATGGGTGCTCTCTCACATGCTTCAGGAGGTAAAATGCTTAATGAGCTGAAGCTGCTGAAAGCTGCTGCACAGTAGGCACACACCAGGCAGCTCCTACCAACACAAGCCAGAGCATCTGTGGGGGCTGAAATGCCCAGCCAGGTGGAGGAGAGTGGCTTTTGTGCTAGCGCCATTAGGGCTGAATGAGGACAGTGGCCTGATTCCAAAAGCTCTGGACTGCGTGCTTTCATATTTGACCAGCTCAACCCTCTGCACCTGCTTTCCTGAATGGCCTAATCCTGCATCAGTGCTCTAGCAAGTGCATCAAAATACATCACCTCGCTGGTAGTGGTTAGCACCAGACAGGAGCATGGAACATTTTACTGCTTCAGACTAAACACTTGACAACAAGCTTAAATGATTTGTGAAACTGAACATTTGTATTGTGGAACAGTACTTTTTTAATGCACTGCCTTTCAGTGTGGAAAAAAAATAGCACTATGAATGGCTCCAATGCTGCAATGCCAAGAATCCTACCAAGAAAAGAAACCTACTCAAGGGAGTCTGCAAACCATTTTAAACAGGAATCAAATAGGGTGTTTTTTCTTAATGGAATGCCTCACTGCCTTAGCAAAAGTAATGTGACTTCACCAATGGGTAAGTGTATATAAAAGCCTAATGTAACAATATTTTCAGAGTGGGGGAAAAGACATTTTTAAAGCTATCTTGGAAATGTTAAATAGAACATACTCGTAGCAATTAATTTGTAATGTTTTTCATCTTATTTCTTCTAAAATATATCTGTTCCTACAACCAGCTGACACAGAAGAACAGAGAACAGCCCTAAGGATATCTACACATATGATTTCCACACAAGACTGCCTGGAGCAGAGGCGTTAAACTTGCAACCTGCTATAGTGGTCCACCCCACTTAGAACTGGCAGCTGGATGAGTTGCTTTCTAGGTAGTGATCTGTTCCCAGTCACTGCCTTCTGGGGGAGAGTAGGAAGGACGAGGCTCATTAGCTTCCCTAGTAGGAGAAAGGTAATGGAAACCCAAGGGTATATTCTGCACCTGCCCTTTGTAGGTGCGTGCACCAAAAGCCCAGCATTTTGAGACTGCAGAGCTGGAGTAGGTACAGCAGTCAGCAGCTCTGCACAGGGAGCAGGCTGCACACAGCAATTTCACAGCCCCACCACTGCTGCCTGTACAGAAGGCTAGCTGACTCCTTGTGTTTTTGGACCACCCACCAGCTCAGGCAGCAATGGAAAAGCCAATTGCCACAGCAGGTTTTCATTTTATGGCTGAGTTAGGCAGCTACCGCTTTCTCTACACTGAGCAGTCACAGCACTTGTCCAGGATTCACTTCACTATTTTAGGTATCTGCTTTAAGACGAATCACACCTAGATCCCATCTTTCTCCCCTAGCCAGAAAAGGAGCTTTGACTACTTCAGATGCAGGTAGCAAGTTACTCAAACTGATCCCACCCTGGACATCATTAACCTTCCTGCTTCAGAACTCAGGCACACAAAATGTGCCATTAAACTAAGGGGCAAGCCCAAGTTACCAGCCTCCTTGGTTGCCTGGGATGGTGTGCACAAGTGCAGGCAATGTTTGCTGTGACCTCTAGCCCTGTTGTCCTCTGCCATCCAGTGAATGAAGTTCCCTGGGCATTGGTTTGCCAAAATTTTGCTGTCGCACAGCCCAGAACTCACATTTAGTAAGATTAGAAAATGTGTGCCTCCCTATTGCCCCCTTCCCAAAAGCAACCGTGTTGAAAGAAAGAAATGGCACTGAAGAGGTGCGATTAAAATCTAAAATCTCATCTCATGGATATGCTCAGTTGCTTCAATTTCTGTGTCCTAGCAGTCAGCAGTTTTTCTTCTTTTTTTTTTTTTTTTAATGGAGAAAAATAAACCTTTTTACAAGGAGAAAAGAAAAACATTCAAAAAACTCAACATAATTTCCACAAAAAAACTCCACCAAAATTCCACTACAAATCCAAAATTTTAATCTCAGTGACCCTTTTTACAAAGAGATTTTATACGTTGAGTGTACATATTCACGAAAGCAACAAACTAAGGCATATTCTCCATAGCCGTGTTTATAAATTAAAAACTTTGAAAAGCCATGTGACTTATCTCATGTAAATCTTGTCAAGATATAGGCAGTTAAAAATTTTAACCATTTGAATTACTTCTGCATGTAGTGGACGGTCAGTTTATACAGTTATCATGAGTATGAGCTAAATTAATTTCAAATCACTGCAACAAATACTCTGGTAAGAGCATGAAGCTTAAACATTATTTTAAAGGGCTCATTAGAAACCCAACATTTTGATTATAATTAAGAAATGTTAAAGATATTACATTCCCTACATATCAAGTCTGAAAGTACAGTATGTACACAACCTACAGTCTTGTCTTTACAAATAGGAAATAATTTATCTGTGTATCTCACACAAGACTAGCAGCTGAAGGGAAGCTGAAAGACTATTTTGATTTGGCCAGAAAAAGGAGGAAATAATCCCCTGAACAGTCATCCCACACATACAGCTATCAGAATTCTGTATCCGAAGAGCTGCCATTTTGGCCAATCTCCTTGACTAATTCTCTTTACACCCACTCGTGAAGTCCCCACCAGTACATTGCTGTTTACAGCAACTCTCTTGTAATGGAATTGCTTGGGTCTCTAGAACTGGCAAGGCTGCTGTTACAGAGAAAACTAATTAAGCAGAAGAATTATGCCCTGCAACATATTACAGTTTGCAGAGAGAAAAGAACTCTGAACTAGACAGACTGTCACACAATAAAAATTTAGACATTTTTTCTTTCAGTTTTTGAATGAACTGTAGTGCTTACTGAAAAGACAAAACTGATCAAGAGGCATCTGTGACAAATTTAAAAGCCTACATTGGCTTTTTTACAAAGCCCTAACCAGCTCCTTTCAATCCAGAGATGCAGTGCTTGCTAGTCAAGTCCCTTGTCCTGACAGCAACCAAACTTCTCCATCCACTACCAGTCTTCTGTGATTTTGACTTAACAGTTTTGCAGCATATGGTATAACTCTGTGCACAGGTCAAGCCTGTTTCACAAAGGACTATTACGAGGTACTGAAATGTTAGCATTGTGCATCATTTTAATCCCCATAGCGCACATGTTTTTCAACAATCCCCTTCAAAGTACAACATGACAAATTTTCAAAAATGCAAACAACCCCAAACACAAAACTCAAGTGTGTTCATTAAAGCACGATAAAAAAAATTACCTTCCTCTCATTGCTTTTCATTTCTCAACTGCAACAAAGGGCAACAATGTTTCTTTTCAGACTTCACAACTGGACTTCTGTCATTTTCAGACAGATACAAGAGTATACCTACTCACATACAGTAACATCATTACAGTAAAATCAAAAGCCATAAAGTGAAATAATGGTGAACATTCCATAAGCAGAATTTTAACTTTTGGTAAACATTTCTCCTAGGCTAAAGGCAAAACTATGCTGTACAAAATCATGTTAACATCTGCAGTAATAAGCCTTGTTTAGCTTAGCCTCAAGCTTAGTGCGTGGTCAGCCTTAACTATGCAATTTCGTAAAAAAATAAGTAGATAGAACACTGTAAAGCTGTATGTCTTCTCTACTTCTACCCATTAGCAGATTCTTCCCTTGCAAAACAACATTCACATGAAAAAAATTTACTGTGGCACTCAGCTGAAGGCAAACACGCGTGTATGGGCAACAAGAGGTGTCAAGGTGACAAACGATTAAATGGGCTGCTTTCTTCTCCACGCGCAGCAAGCTTGAGCGTTGTTAGCTTATGAGGGGGGTGCTGAGGGCTCTTACGAAGGTTGTCGTCCATCTGCAGAGAAATAATGAGAGCTGGATCTGGCAAACAGTAGAATACAGATTATAGCATTAGTCTTATTTGTCAGGGCTGCCATCATTAATGCTGGTTTGGGGTATCTTTGCCCTCTTACTTCAGGACCAGACAAAACTGGTGCTTTGGTTTCTTTCCACTCCCAAATATATGCTTGTTTTAGAGCTGCTATTCATTCCATTACATATGGTGCATCATACCCATGGCAAATGGGTGTGCTTTTGCTCAAGTCACTTTGTCAAGATTACTGAAGTAAGCAACACTGCTACCTGTTCCTAAGAGGTAAAATTTTGTACAATAGCCAAATGCTGCTAGAATGGAGATCAAGAGTCAAACTGCTAACATCAAGGGATGCTTTTTGTATGTTCAACACCATGCAAGAATAAACCTTTTCAAACCAGAAATGTTCTGGAGGCACTGAGTAAATTTTTATTAGTTACAGATTACAAAAAGCACTTAATAAAGAACTTATGATAATAGCTTTTCAAAGACAGGTTAAAATTAATCTCTGAATATAAATAATTAACATTTTCATAGGCAATCAATCTAATGCCTTACACGTAATGTGGTCTCAAAAGTTTAGTTAGTACAGAATAAAAGACAGCACAGGGGAGATCTGCAGAGGCTGTGTGGTCCATCCCATTTCCTCAAGGCAGGTTCACCTTTACTTCAATCATGCCTGACAAATGTTTGTGTAACCCATTGTTTAGAAGTTCCATAGCCACACTTCAAATCCAGAAAGAGGATCAATAACTAATGCTACAGAAGCTGATCATAGTTAATGATCTACTTCATACACTAGTCTTTTTCAGGAAGAAATGCCTTCTATCCTTCCAATCAGAATGTTCTGTCTGCATGAAAAGGCTAATTCTTCACAAGTATTTTTCACATAAGTTGTACAGCTTTCAGTAGGTGCTGAGTGACAGCCTTAGAAACAAAGAACATAAGAAATAAAAGCAAGATGTAGAAAAAGCAGGAGTGTGACTACAGGTCAGTTACTGCCGCATGCAGCTGGGAGCAAGGAAACCCGGTGTTAAGTCTTAATTTGCAGGACCATTTCTGAATTTTGATCAATACATTTGCCTCCTCCTTTCCTGAGGAAAGATACCATTCCTCTATAGGTATGCACATCTGCAAGACAATGTTCTTTTGGTTGTATTAAAAATACTTTTTTAAGTACAAGGCTTCAGTAATTGCTCCTTCCAAGTAATGTAATATTCTTCCTGCCTCTCTACACAATGTAACTCAGTAGAAAAGAAGTAAAGTCCATTGTACAGTTGCAGTTGCCATGCAAGAATATCTGTGAACAAGTAACCATAAAAAGCAGAATAATTAGAGACTGAAGCAAAAGTAACCTTTTCAATCAAGTTGGATTCCTTATTTACAAGCTGTGTGAGTTTCTGCAGATTAGCATCTGCTATATCCCGTCCAGCCGGAGAATGGCCTGGAGAGTGAAGGCAAAAAGATGAAGAGTGAAAAGGTACTTACAAAAGCTTTTAAATCCTTAAAAAATAAACACACGTTGGAGATAAAGTTCATGCAGTATCTTCATGCAAAGAAGAATTTAAGTGAAAAAGCCATTCTGTGTGAGAAAAACAGTACTAAGCGTGAGCCATAAGATTTTGCCAATGTTTGACAGAATCTGAAACTGAGTATTTACCCTTGTTTTTAATTTTCAGTCCTTTCTGCTGAACTTTAGAGGTTTCTCCACTTCATTTCCCACAAAAACTCTAGCATAAACTAAGTAAAACCTAATCTGCCTTGGCTCGCAGACGGAATCCTGGAGTACTAATCCCAACAGAAGTATATGTGACAAAAAGGGGAAGAGAAACACATCTTACCTGAGACACTTAACCTGAAGTAGCAAGTTAAAATATCATCACAGAATCGACACAGATTGGGAAGCTGTTTCAAGTGCTCTTGTAATTGTACCCTGGGGAAGCACACTTTATAAACTGGTGCAAGGAAACCAAACACAAAGGCATCCAAGGTGGTAGGCCTAAAAAGTGACAAAAGAAAACATCAAAGTGACTGAGGTAAAACAGTTAAGACTTCTACAACTTAACAGTTTTCTGTGTATGTCAAACACAACTCAGGACAGAACATAGCTCTTCTGTGATTCCATCTTTGCCTATCAACCTGGTAAACGCTTTGTAGCAACTATCCACTCATTTCAGCACCTCTGAACTAGAGATGTGCTGGCAAGCTGAAACACTAACTTCAGCATTAAAGCACAGTCATGCTGTCACATACACTGATAAACAAGCCACTCTAAAATGCATTTCTGGCACCAGAAAAGTCAAGTTATATGCCAGGGGACCAGGATCCTCTCTCATGGAGTTGTCCAACTTCAGCAACTAAAGGCACAGATCATCCATTTTGGGACCTGCTGGCACTGTTCTTGGTCCTATCTGTTTCCTGCTCTGCATATATACCACGGGAAGTGGAATGTTCCCAGACCTACGCTCTGCTCCCATAGGGGCACTAGTAATACCTCAAGCCTAAAGCATTTTTTGTACATACAAAGACAGGAGGTGACTGTGGCTAGAAAAGGGTTCTCTAGTGCACCTCGCATTTTCTTAGCAGCTGTGGGCAGCATCTGCCTCTCTGTGGAAAAATGCTGGATAAGGGAGAAACCACATCGCCTCACTCTGAAGATCTCGTTTGTGGCCTGTTTGCTCATTCAGATTTATCTGAAAAGCAGTGTGTCAGACATGAAACTACTGTGCACCACTTTTAAAATTCTGGCAGGTTAAATAAAAAAGAGTTCAAGTGCTCACAGAGTCATATGGTGCGTGTTTTATTAATCATCTACAAAAAAACCCCAACCAAACAAAAAAACCCCAAACCACACTCACGTATCTCCAAAGAAAAACTGAGATGTTCCCAATCTCTTCGACAGGAGATTTAGGCACTCCTTGGCATCCCTGTATATCTGATGAAACACAAGACTGTCTAAGAGCCTTAGGTGTAGCAAGGCTGGTATGCACAGCACCATTCATCATTCGACAGTGTGCTAGACTGTTTCAGTTTTTGCCTTTGACAGAACTAACTTACAAATTCTTTACTACACAACACATACCTGTGCTTCCACTTCAGTGAGACTGTAGAGTGGAGGCCCTCCCTTGGTCAGCAAGATCCTGTTCAGTGCTTCCCTGGACATCTTTCCAGGCAGATACAAACTCAGTGGGAAGGCAATCCTTGAGGCAAACCATGGCTTTGTCACACTGCAGTAATTTTCAGCCTCAATCCAGAAAGTGTGCAGCTATATCAACACAAAGAAAAATATAACTGAAATTTCAATGAGAACAGTAGACATCTCATAAAACTTGCCATGTAAGACTTCTGTCAGAGAAGCAGAAGAACCAGGATTTATTCTACTTTAAGGCAATCAGGCTCCACAAAGTTATATACTAATCCTTTGAGTGCAGTATATAATTAAGGTGATAGCTACCTTCCAAATAAAGAAAAACACCAAAGATATGAAAAAGATCTATATGCATCTGCATAATATTATGTACGTACTGCGTACAGACACATACACATACACACACTGTATACTGAAAATATATTACAATAAAAGTTGCAGACATACGGGAACAGGTCTGGAATTTCTTAAAATTTGGTTTGAAATTACATATAAATCTTAAAATAAAAGATAGTATGAAATGATGACTTTGAAACCAGGGTCAGCTGAAGAGGTAGCTTATGATATCATCTGGTCAGAATATTTTTTTCTGTACAAACTGAAACCAAAGTCATTCAAGAGATTCAATGTCTGTGGATTTTATAGCTCTAATGTAATTACACTGAAATGGTGAGGGAATGTGGTCATGTGTTATTTAAAACTGAAAAATGAAACTACTGATGGGCATTTTAATCTACCAAAGTTCTAACTGAACAGTTCAAAAGGCTTCCAGTTGTGTGTCTCTCCTCAGACATACCACATCTTATCAAAGTTTTTTCAAGAAAATCAAGTGAAACAAAACATGGCCACAATAAGCTGTTTCAGGATACTGTTCCCCCCCCAAAAAACAAAACCAAACAAAATAGAAAACCCACCAAAACCAAACAACCACCAACCAAACAAAAACCCAATCAAACACAAAACAAAACAAATAAGCGCCCCGTCCCCCCCCCCCCCCCCCAAGTGTCCTTTTAAAATGACTTTCATAAATTTACTATTATTACTAGACATCCCACAAAAACACGCTTCTTTCCTGAAGATGCTAGGCAGTATTTTCAAAAATTGGACTAACAAAGCAAATACATTCCAGTCAGGACTGTGGCAGACAGACTTTAGTGTCTCTCATGCTGGGCACCTCTAGTAGGATTCACTTCCAAATATTCTGACCATTATAAAGTATTTATCAATATTTACCAGAGCTGGAAGCAGTTTCTCTTCAAGTAGTGCAATATATGCCAGTGTATCAGCTCCTTGTTTTGCAGACAATTCATAATCCGCATTATACTTCTAGGAATTAAAAAAGAAAAACACACGACACTAAACCCAAAAACCTAAAAATAGTGTTACACAGAACCTTTCAAAAAAATGATCAATGCAAAGTTACTTCAAACTTAACAGCTATCAAGTCAGTAACTATAAAAACACTTTTGGGGACAGAAAGTGGGCACTGACTAGAATATCTTCCCTTATTCAGGCCAGCTATGTCAAACCTTATTGCATCTCCCTTTTCCACTTTCCCATTCTTAGATCTTTGGGCCCTCCTATTCCCAAAATAATTCGTGCCTCCTTCCCATTTGTTTCCAAGCAAATATCCAGCCATACAGAGGCAATTTTTCAGTGCTTAGGGACGTAGCAAACCTCTGTTAAGTCGTCATCTTTATTTCTGAAGAAGCATCTGGCACTTCAGATGGTGTAAGCATCAAAAAAAGGCATGCATTCCCATATTTTGCTTTTAATTAACATTCCTAAAAGTTAAGGAATTGGATGCTAACAATGTAAGGGACCAAATGCACAGCTAAATTAATCCAGTTACAGCTGACTGAGTTTTTAATTCTAACACTGGATTCCTTTAAGATACATTAAAAAGGCTGATAAATTTTTGGGGGAGTGAGTAGATCTGTTTCATTAATTTATAAAGAAAGGGTCAGTACTGATACTTAAAGATATGTGAAAGGCAAGCATGTAATTGCTATACTTTAACTCAAAGAGGGGTTTTTTTCCCAACACTATGGAATCTTTGGTATTCAAATGAATACCAAATTCAAATTCAATTCAAATGAATACGAAACTTTCATATTTGAATTTCAAAACAGCTATTTGAAATCCTCTCAAATGCAGTTTTCAGATTCTGTTTTTTTCCCCCTCAAAGATTTAAAGTGTCACTAGGGCATTGATCAGCTCATCTGACTTTGTAGGAGGTGCATCTGTAATGTAAAAGCAGAATAGTGGTCTAGAGGACCACCCTGGAAATAAAAAGATGGTGCCATGGTTTACTAGACATCTTTATACTTCATGAAAAGAAGAAATCACACAGCTTTATTCTTTGGAAATAAAACATTAAGAGATCTACAAAAGGTAGTAGATGTGCATCAAGAAACACCTGCAGACATTTTTACGTTACAAGCTACAGATAAACTACACAGATTAAAAGCAATGCTGTATGTATTATCTTTCAAAAAAAAGAGCACTGGGAAATGACTACCCATTTAAGCAGTTAAACCTAGGCTGTGATATCCTAGGTCTAAAAAGTCATAATGACATTAAAGATGTGATAATTACAAGCAGGGTGCTCAGCAACAAACTGCTCAGTTAAGGACAGTTTTTTGTCCTTTTCAACAAACATTTTTTCATGCCTATTTTGAATCTTTCATACAACTAACAATCAAACTTCAAACTGCAATTTCTTATCCACCATTTTGCAATTCTCATGCATATATGAAAAACAGAAAAGCACTGGGTCTGAGTTGAGTTTCCGGACTTTGGAAGCCAGTATCAATGTACACCACAGGGACCTGCAGAGTCACTACCAGGCAAAGAAACCTACCTGCTTTCTTAAGAAGTTTAGTATTTTTGCTGGTTGAGAAATCACCTTGTCTTCTGATATGAGGACTGGTATATCTCCTAGAGGGCATAAATACTGCAGTCAACAATTTATATCATAGAATCATAGAATCAGCTGGCTTGCAAAAGACCTCTGAGATCATCAAGCCCAACCCTTGATCGAAAACTGCAGTGGTTACTAGACCATGGCACTAAGTGCCACATCCAGTCTCACCTTAAAAACCTTCAGGGACGGAGAATCCACCACTTCCCTGGACAGCCCATTCCAATGCCTGATGACCCTTTCTGTAAAGAATTTTTTCCTCATATCTAACCTAAATCTCCCCTGGCAGAGCTTAAGACCATGCCCTCTTGTCTTGCTGATAGCTGCCTGGGAGAAGAGATCAACTCCCACCTGGCTACAACCTCCTTTCAGGGAGTTGTAGAGAGTGATGAGGTCTCCCCTGAGCCTCCTCTTCTCCAGGCTAAACAACCCCAGCTTTCTCAGCCTCTCCTCATAGGATTTGTGCTCGAGTCCCTTCACCAGCCTTGTTGCTCTTCTCTGGACCTGCTCCAGCACCTCAATATCCTTCCTGAACTGAGGGGCCCAGAACTGGACACAGTACTCGAGGTGTGGCCTCACCAGCACTGAGTACAGGGGCAGAATCACTTCCCTGGATCTGCTGGCCCCCCTGTTCCTGATCCACGCCAGGATGCCATTGGCCTTCTTGGCCACCTGGGCACACTGCTGGCTCATGTTCACCTTCCTGTCAATCCAGACTCCCAGGTCCCTTTCTGCCTGGCTGCTCTCCAGCCACTCTGTCCCCAGCCTGAAGCGCTGCATGGGGTTGTTGTGGCCAAAGTGCAGGACCCAACACTTGGCCTTATTGAACCTCATCCCACTGGAATCAGCCCAACTCTCCAGCCTGTCCAGGTCCCTCTGCAGAGCCCTCCTGCCTTCCAGCTGATTGACACTCCCCCCCCAGCTTGGTGTCATCTGCAAATTTGCTGATGGTACACTCCTGCCCTTCCCCTCCAAATCCATTTTAACCACCTGTTTTGTCTAACCTTGCTACAACCACTGCCCAAGCTACCATAGCATAACCATGAACTACTCAAGAACTAAGTATTTCCTTTCTGCCAGAACTTTACTGGAAGCCTTTACTCATGAGATTGCCAGATCAAAGCGTCTGTAACAGGGGTTATCTTACAGCACATTCACAACATAACTGCCTCAATAAGCCCAAAAGGATTGTGCTGCATCAATTATCACCAACACTTACTACTTGGATTGATTTTTTAAATGGATTTTATGTATTTTTGCTATGAGAAAAGCCACCAAACTTTTAGCAGGTACACCCAGCTAGTTCTTGGTATTTGCTCCTAACAGAAAACAACATACTGAAAAGCAAGAGCCAAAGGATCAACTTCTGTATGAATACAGTAATGGCTAAACTGATTATGTGGTTAAGCATAAACGACAGAATACTTTAACCCTGCAGCGATGTTACCTCTCTGAAATACACTGAGACAATAACTTAAATGCTGAGCAAACAAGCAATGAGTAGGAGCATCCAACACAAAGAAGTCATCTCTGACACCTTATATTCCATTTTTTCTGACTCAACCACTCTAATTCAGCATAGTGCTAAACATCCCAGCTAGTGTAAGGTATACTCGCTGAAGTTCACATTGCACTTACAATTATACCAGCCCCTTAAATTATGTATAATCAAAGAGCTATTTCCACATACAAGTCTGGTTACTATCATTATAAATATGCAAAGTGCTAAAAACTTAAAAATTTGTTTTCAGTATACCATCAATTTAGACTGCCTGAAACAGTTACGTACTTGGCACTACTGCTTTGTTGACAGTCTGCTGCTTCACCCATATACATTTTAATAAACTGTCCTTTGAAGCACTTTATGTCTTCCATTATTGTATTCCCACAAATTCATCACACTTGATCCTGTGAAGTCATTTAACTGGGGCAGGCTGCACTCATTAGCACAAACTCAATGCAAATACTGGAACGTTCATTTATAGTGCAGCTGTGACTAAAAGAATACAGACTGCAAAGATGGTACCTTTTGGAGCTTTCCAGGACCTACTTATAGTATTCACTGTCAGGGGAGCACCAGAAAATTTGGCGTAAGCCTGCAATAAAGATTGCGAGAGACAGGGATTAAATTCTGTCACTATGTGAAAGAAAATCGTAAGACAGCACTAAAGAAGTCGTTTTAAACATCTTCGATCACTGAGGACCGACTAGCAGCAAGTGCGCGGAGAAGCGCGATGGATTTCGATCGGGCTTCCTTGCCCTAACACGACACCAGGAAATGCCGCGCAGAGGCCCCGCAGCCCCCAAGAAGGGCTCGGCCCCCGGGGGAAGGGCAGCAGCGCCCTGGAGAAGGGCCCGGCACCGCCGGGAAGGGCGGCAGCGCAGCCTGCGGCTTTTGTGAGGCACGAGCCGGGCCGTGCCGCGCGCCCAACACCGCGCCTCCCACTCCCGGCCTCTCCCGCGGGAAGGAGCCCCGCGGACGGCCGTGCCGGTGGTAGGCAAGCCCCAGGGCGCCGCCGCTTCCTCTCTCCCTCCCTCCAGGGGCGGGCGGCTGCCCGTTACCATGACGGTGAGAGACTCCGGGTGCACGGACGGCAGCCCCCAGTCGCCTGCCCAGCACCTCAGCTCCATAGGAGCCGCCATCTTGTCCGCCGACTGGCCAGGGCGGCGCTGCTGCCGCCACATGGAGACACCCGAGCGGGGCGGAAGAAGGAGGCGCCGCGGGCGGCGAGCTGCGGGCACCAGCGGCACGGCGCTGGGGACGGAACGTGTCCTGACCTCTGCCGGGCGTTGCCAGGGAGGCTAGGGGACTAGAGGGGAGTCACAGAAATCAGTTGGGTTGCAGAAGACCTCTGAGATCGGTCGGGTCCAACCTATGAGCGAACACCACCATGTCAACTAGACCATGAGTGCCACGTCCAGTCTTTCCTTAAACACTTCCGTGGACGGAGACCACCACCTCCCTGGGCAGTTCATTCCAGTCTCTAATCACCCTTTCTATGAAGAAATTCTTCCTAATGTCCAGCCCAAACCTTCCCTGGCGCTGCTTAAGACTATATCCTCTTGTCCTGTTACTCCTTGCCTGGGAGAAGAGGCCAACCCTCACCTCACTACAACCTCCTTTCAGGTAGCTGTAGAGAGCGATAAGGTCCCCCATGAGCTTCCTTTTCTCCACAATAAACAACCCCAGCTCTCTCAGCTGCCCCTCATAGGACTTGTGCTCCAGACCCTTGCCCAGCTTCATTGCCCTTCTCTGGACACACTCCAGCACCCCAATGTCCTTCCTGAATTAAGAACTTTGTCCTCTCGTCCTGTAACTTGTTGCCTGGGAGAAGAGGCCAACCGCCACCTGGCTATAACCTCCTTTCAGGTTGTATCCAGGTGGGGGTCAACCTCTTGGGAAGGGACATGGACAGCCCCGCAGCTGTGACCCTGTGAGGAAATGCCACCCACCCTGTGGCACCATTGCTGTCCTCATGAAACGCTTTTGGTACTGCCTGGCTGAACCCTTACCCTCCAACCCTGTTACTACACATAGTGGTGTTACTTTACACAGGAGCAAAAAAAAATTGTGGCTCTCCACGAAATGTGAGGAGCAGTTGTCAGCAATTTGTCTTTAAAAACAGTGAACTCTGATCATATGTTACCAGTTTTGACCAGGTTATAATGATAACCCATTCAGTATGGGTTTTACTGTGGGCCTTGGAAGGTGTCAAGTTGTCAGGCTGTTTGTTCCAGAGCTCATGGAGACATGCTACAGCACATCTAAACACTAAGTCAAGTTTCCATTCTTCCCACACAAGGAAAAAATACCACACGCACTGACTTAAAAAAACCCCTGCACTGACCACCCTTATTCAGGTATTCTATGCATAAAGAGGAGAGTGAGGGCAAAGCTTCATTTGTCCTTCTTCCCTCACAGATCTGTGATTTCAGATTCACCTGAAATTTGTGGAAGAAAGTGTCATAAAACCTATGATGCATAAAACCTATGATCTGAGATAATTCAGTTTCATTTTATGAGCTACATGGGAGAAGAAATACATATCCACTTTTTTCCTCAGGAAAGCATACCACTGGCAATGTTAACAGTAGCTAATTTTTTTTTAATGGATACATTACATTTTTCCCAACAAAGACATACTTAAGATAAATATTCTTAAGTACACTTTTCATATCTTTTCCTCCCTACAGGCACTGGCTGACTTTTCTATCTGTCCGGGTACTTTGCTTTGGCCTGTTCACAGTGCCTCACTGAGATGCACACACTCTGGAGAGAACAGTGGCTCCTAACAGCTGTGATCCCAAACATCTATTTCTATAAGGAATATTTTCCCCAGGGCTCATTACTGAGGCCAGCCCTGTTTAATACCTTCATCAACAACCTGGACAAGGGGATAAAGTGCACCCTCAGTCAGTTTGCAAGCTCAGAGGGAGTGATGATCTGCTGGAGGGTAGGAAGGCTCTGCAGATGGATCTGAACACACTGGATCAGGGGCCAAGGTCTATGGTATGAGGTTCAAGAAGGTCTAGTGCTGGGTCCTGCCCTCAGTTCACCACAACCTATAGGCTGATGGCAGAGTGGCTGGAAAGCTGCCCAGCAGAAAAGGACCTGGAGGTGCTGGTCAGCAGTGGCTGAACAAGACCCAGCAGTGTGCCCAGGTAGCCAAGCTGGCCAATGACATCCTGCCTTGTATCAGAAATAGTGTGGCCAGCAGGACCAGGGCAGTGATTATCCCTCTATATTCAGCACTTGTGGGGATGTACCTTGAATCAGGTGTTCACTTTTGGGCCCCTACTACAGGAACATCATTTTCATGGTGGAGGATGCCGAGAGAAGGGCAATGAAGCTGGTGAAGGGTCTGGAGAACAAGTCCTATGAAGGGCAGCTGAGAGAGCTGGGATTGTTTACTGTGGAGAAAAGGAAGCTCATGGGGGACCTTATCGCTCTCTATAATAATAATGGCCAGTCTTCGCGAACGAAGATTTTGGGAAAGGTCTTTTACCTTTCCAGCCTGCGCAATGGATTTTTTAGGTGAGACACAGCCTGCGCTGAACTGAGCCCACCCTTTAATCCTAAGGTTCATCTGCCGGGGCCAAACAAGCTTGGACAATGGCAGTGAGGTCCTCAGGATGTAGGTTTGTTTAGAGTGACCTTCTCATAGATGGATGGCCTCACAGGGCTAACGGGCTCCATCTGCCCGGGGGACCGAGGAATCAAACCGGGGTCGCAGCAGTGAGAGTCCTGCATGCTAACCACTAGGCCATCAGGGGTTATTATCGCTCTCTACAGCTACCTGAAAGGAGGTTGCAGCAAGGTGTGGGTCGGCCTCTTCTTCAAAGTAACAAGTGATAGGACCAGAGGAAATGGCCTCAAGTTGCACCAGAGGAAGTTTTGATTAGATATTATGAAAAATTTATTTGCTGAAAGAGTTGTCAAGCATTGGGACAGGCTGCCCAGGGAAGTGGTGGAGTCACCATCCCTGAAAATGTTAAAAAAACCCTACGTGGATGTGGCACTTGAGGACACATTTTAGTGGTGAACATGGTGGTGGTGGTGGTGGTGCTGGGTTGATGATTGGACTTGATGATCTTGGAGGTCTTTTCCTAAGAAAAACCTAACCATTCTATGATTCTATGAGCCACCTTATGGCTCTTCTTAAGGCAGGCTGAAAGAAGGCTTAGGAGTGTAATAAATTAGTAGTAGTAAAGTAATTTACTCATCAAATTAGTAGTAATAAAGTAATTTACTCATTAAATTGTATTGCATGTTATATTCCTATATATATATATGTTATTGTAATCAATGTTCTGTTAAGGCTGGGGGACTGTAAGTTGCAGAATGGTTAATTAATCTGTCAGCATTATAGGCTGATAGTCCTGCAGCTTGCAGTTCTTAAGCTGACAAGACAAATTATTGTGCCTTGCTGAATAAGTATTTTGTATCTTGTTTTTCTAAAAGCATATTGTCTAAAAGTGTACGCATAAAGTAACGAAGGGAGGGACAAGGATCAAAGGGTCAAGTACGAGGACGATAAAGAGGATCCAAGATGGACATCTGGAGCCTACACACTAGGCCTCAAGGACGAAGGACTAATTAAAGCTATGGATAGGAAAGTACCTGGCAACTGAAGCGGGCCTGCAAAAGAACCAACCAGACCCAGACCTGCGAACTCGGATCCAATAGAGGGATAACAAGTGACTATAGGAAGGGAATTGATAAGGGTATAAAGGTTACTGTTTTTGCCCACTGCGCCTGCGGGCCGTGAGTGGAGCAGGGGTCTCCCCGGCCACCCAGCGCGCTGTTTTGCTTATTTGCATTTTATATAAATCTTTAATAAATTTTTGCTGCTATATTTCAGCCTAGTTTCATTTACTTATAACAGGAGGTAAATAGGGAAGTAAGCTTTGCATTGCCTTTAGGCCCAATTTATCTCCGTGGTTTTGTGGGTTCCAGAGCAAAGATGAAAAAAAAGGCAATCTGCATCTTCCCTCCCCCATGTCAGGAACTTTTTCCTCTTGGTTGCCTAAGTGGAATTCCTATTAGTGTAAATGAAAAGTAAATAGGTGCATTGAGGATGGATATATGACTTGACTTGAAAAAGTGGAGCTTCAGTTTGTGTTTTGGAAAAAGCAAGTCTTTTGAAACCTGTCTTTGAAACTTGTAGCCTTTGAAACCTACAATTTTTCTTCTGAAAATGAGGCAAGATCAAACCCATAAATGTTGACATAAATATGGAAGTATGTGGTTTAGAGCTGATATTTCACTTGCATTAAGACTTCTATATCTTAAATGCCCACAAATCCTGATTTTTAATCATCCATATAATTCCATCAAAACAGTGAGTCTCATGATGCATATTAGGAACAAAACATGAAAGGTGAATTAAGCAGCGATTCTATTTTATTTCCCCTACCCCATTACTTGGAATTTGAACAAGTTACAGACTCTTCTGTAAAGTGCAATCTGCAATGTCTGCAGCTTCTCTGTATTCTGTATGCTTAAAATCTTATTGACTTATGTAAAGTAAGCAGGTCAAACATTTTAATGTTTGAGGTTTTCTGTCAGATCCCATATGAAAAATTAGTCATATATTTATAACTTCCTTACAAAATGTGACTGGAATGATGAAAGTTTCTTGTAAACACAATGTCCATTAATCATATTTTGATTCTTGATTCTTATTCAAGATATTAACCTCCAGTAAATTAAGATGGAGTTTGTACTTCAGAGAATACACAAGAGTGAAAAGGCAATTGCTAGTATTCCATTGTTTTTATTGAAAATGTGGATTAGAAGGTCAAATAGCCCCTTCCAGACAGCAGATAAACATTCTGTTTTGTGAAATCCCTTAAAGAAGGCTGGGCTTGAGCACAAAATCCCCTTCAGTCTGTAACATACTCCACCAATAAAACTCAGCATAGAAAATTATAGTGACATTTATGTACTGAGTAAATTCTCCTAAACATGGACTTAAGCTTCTGGTTTTGTACATTGTGAACTGGTTACCTTCTGTTATATTGCATTGTGCCTCATGGTCTGTTTGTGTAACATTGCTTCCTTGTGCATTCTTTGTGAGTAAGCTCAAGGAATAAGCAGCTGCAGAGCAAGAACAGAACATGATCTAGCTGTATAATTTTGTAGCATTGTATAATGCTACAAACAAAATCCTCCTCCCATAGAGTTGTTCTGCACCAGTGCAAGAGA